GCAGCAGAGCCTGCAGAAGATAGAATACTGCTGAACAGCCAGTGTACCTGTCTGATTCTTGCTTTGGAAGCTTCCTTTCAGGGGTGTACTCCACCGTGTGAGGTGTAGGGTGTCGGTCTGCCCCTAGTGGAGGATGTCTCCCAGTTAGGCTACTCAGGGGTCAGGGACCCACTTGAGCAGGCAGTCTGTACATTCTCAGATCTCAACCTCTGTGTTGGGAGATCCACTGCTCTCTTCAAAGCAGTCAGACAGAGTTGTTTATGTCTGCAGAGGTTTCTGCTGCTTTTTGTTGTTGTTGTTGTTGTTGTTTAGCTGTGCCCTGTCCCCAGAGGTGGAGTCTACAGAGACTGGCAGGCCTCCTTGAGCTGCTGTGAGCTCCACCCAGTTGGATCTTCCCAAGGCTTTGTTTACCTACTTAAGCTTCAGCAATGGCGGGCACCCCTCCCCCAGCCTCACTGCTGCCTTGTCATTAGATCGCAGACTGCTGTGCTAGCAATGAGGAAGGCTCTGTGGGCGTGGGACCCTCCCAGCCAGGTGTGGGATATAATCTCCTGGTATGCCCGTTTGCTTCAAGCGTAGTATTGGGGTGGGAGTTACCCGATTTTCCAGGTGTTGTGTGTCTCAGTTCCCCTGGCTAGGAAAAGGGATTCCCTTCCCCCTTGCACTTCCCAGATGAGGCGATGCCTCGCCCTGCTTCAGCTCTCGCTGGTCGGGCTGCAGCAGCTGACCAGCACCGATTGTCCAGCACTCCCTAGTGAGATGAACCCAGTACCTCAGTTGAAAATGCAGAAATCACCTGTCTTCTGTGTCGCTTGCGCTGGGAGCTGGAGACTGGAGCTGTTCCTATTCGTCCATCTTCCTCTGCTCCCCCATCTCGTAAAGGACCTCTTCAAGGAGAACTACAAACCACTGCTCAGTGAAATCAAAGAGGACACAAACAAATGGAAGAACATACCATGCTCATGGATAGGAAGAATCAATATCGTGAAAATGGCCATACTGCCCAAGGTAATTGATAGATTCAATGCCATCCCCATCAAGCTACCAATGAGTTTCTTCACAGAATTGGAAAAAACTGCTTTGAAGTTCATATGGAACCAAAAAAGAGCCCGCATCTCCAAGACAATCCTAAGTCAAAAGAACAAAGCTGGAGGCATCATGCTACCTGACTTCAAACTATACTACAAGGCTACAGTAACCAAAACAGCATGGTACTGGTACCAAAAAGAGATATAGACCAATGGAACAGAACAGAGTCCTCAGAAATAATGCCACACATCTACAGCCATCTGATCTTTGACAAACCTGAGAGAAACAAGAAATGGGGAAAGGATTCCCTATTTAATAAATGGTGCTGGGAAAATTGGCTAGCCATAAGTAGAAAGCTGAAACTGGATCCTTTCCTTACTCCTTATACGAAAATTAATTCAAGATGGATTAGAGACTTAAATGTTAGACCTAATACCATAAAAACCCTAGAAGAAAACCTAGGTAATACCATTCAGGACATAGGCATAGGCAAGGACTACATGTCTAAAACACCAAAAGCAACAGCAACAAAAGCCAAAATTGACAAATGGGGTCTAATTAAACTAAAGAGCTTCTGCACAGCAAAAGAAACTACCATCAGAGTGAACAGGCAACCTACAGAATAGGAGAAAATTTTTGCAATCTGACAAAGGGCTAATATCCAGAACTTACAAAGAACTCAAACAAATTTACAAGAAAAAAGAAACAACCCCATCAAAAAGTGGGCAAAGGATATGAACAGACATTTCCCAAAAGAAGACATTCATACAGCCAACAGACACATGAAAAAATGCTCATCGTCACTGGCCATCAGAGAAATGCAAATCAAAACCACAATGAGATACCATCTCACACCAGTTAGAATGGCAATCATTAAAAAGTCAGGAAACAACAAGTGCTGGAGAGGATGTGGAGAAATAGGAACGCTCTTACACTGTTGGTGGGAGTGTAAATTAGTTCAACCATTATGGAAAACAGTATGGCGATTCCTCAAGGATCTAGAACTAGAAGTACCATATGACCCAGCCATCCCATTACTGGGTATATACCCAAAGGATTATAAATCATGCTGCTATAAAGACACATGCACACGTATGTTTATTGCGGCACTATTCACAATAGCAAAGACTTGGAATCAACCCAAATGTCCATCAGTGACAGACTTGATTAAGAAAATGTGGCACATATGCACCATGGAATACTATGCAGCCATAAAAAAGGATGAGTTTGTGTCCTTTGTAGGGACATGGATGCAGCTGGAAACCATCATTCTCAGCAAACTATCGCAAGAACAGAAAACCAAACACCGCATGTTCTCACTCATAGGTGGGAACTGAACAATGAGATCACTTGGACTTGGGAAGGGGAACATCACATACCAGGGCCTATCACGGGGAGGGGGCAGGGAGGAGGGATTGCATTGGGAGTTATACCTGATGTAAATGACGAGTTGATGGGTGCTGATGACTTGATGGGTGCAGCACACCAACATGGCACAAGTATACATATGTAATAAACCTGCACGTTATACACATGTACCCTAGAACTTAAAGTATAATAATAATAATAATAATAATAATAATAATAATAAAAGCTTAAGGGCAGGAATGAAAGGAAGTAAAGTACACGTGGAAAAGGGCCAAGTGGGTGACTTGAAAGACAAGTGTGCAGTTTGACCTTTCGACTTGGGGTTTTATATGATGGCATGCTTCTGGGATCTTGTGTTACTTCTCCCCTTTCTTCTACCCTTGGGATGGGCTGTCCGAATGCACAGTGGCCTGCCAGCACTTGGGAGGTGAGCACGTACAGTGTGTTTATTGGAGGTGTGTGCATGCTTACCTGAGGCATTCTTCCCTTACCAGTCTGAATGTTCCTAGAAGGTCATATACCAGTTTAATGTCACCATTTTGCCTCTTAATGCACATGTGTAAGCCCATTGGCCCAGCTCCTGAGATCTTATCAGGAAGCTACTGATCACCAGTTTCAGGTTTTTCTATCTATTGGGAAACTGCCTCTCCCTGGCACTGACTACATCCAATTATTATTTTAGAGAGACAGCTTAACAAAGACCTGATCATCACCCGATGGTCACCTGACATTCCTGATGAGGGTGTTGGGTGGCCCTCTCCTACCTGGCTCATGTCTGACTAGCTATCTACTGTAACCCTCCTTCCAAGTGCCTATCTCTGGTCTTAGCTGGAGGCCTACTTCCCAGGCTGGGCAACGGCCACCTTGCAGGCTGCAATCTTTTCTAAGGAATAAAGTTTCCTCCTCTCTTTTTCTAAATTTATACACTATCATTTTCTTCTAAGTTAACGGTTCTGTGATGCCTCTGTTCTCAAGTGACTTTCTATGTGGAAAGTTTTCAAAGGCTTTGGAAAATGTCGGTAAATTACATTTCATGACATCACAATGAGAAGAAAGAACAAAAACTTCTGGACACATAGCGTTATTAATCAATGACTAGGAAGGACAATGACAAAGGTGACTGGACCATTAGAAAGGGGGTCTTTTGAGCTCCAATTCTAGGTGCTACTCACTTTAATAACTCTACAACTTCAACTTCAGAGTTTTACACTTCAGATGGGAACAGTTTGACAAGTTCAAGCTGATTGCAATACCCTACAGGATGAATATTTATAATGAAATATTGTTTAATTCCTTCTCAATTTCCCTTACTGCAAAAATTATGATCAGTAAAAGCATTTTTCTTAATGATCTCAGATTTCTACTAGATGAAAATCGAGGCTTATTTTTATATAACAGACATTCCATCTTAGAACTTTCTTCTTTTTTATAATCATCTAAATCCAAGTTTCTGCCTTTGGGAATTTGGTAATGGATGTTCTGTGTCTATTTGGCATTTTCTTTTTAAATTTAGGAGATTACTTTATTTCCTCTCTAGCCTTGATTTGTTTTGTTGTGTAGTGATTTGCTATTAATATTTAAGCCTATTCTTAAGAGGCTATCCCTAATGAGTAGCATTTTTCACAAAACAAATTACCTCTTGGCTATTTATTGCATGTAGAAAAGGTATAAATTATATAAATTATCTGGAATGATATTTTAAAACTAAACCTTTAGCCATCTAGTAAACGGCAACACTTCTCTCCTTATTTTAAATATCAGTGGTTCTTAACCCCCATAATACTCTTAAAATTATTGAAAACCCCCTCCAAAAACTCTTCTTTATGTGAGTTATGTCTATTGTTATTTATCACATTAGAAATTAAAACTAAAACATCTTAAAATATTTATTTACTGTTCATTTAAAAATAACAGTAATAAACCCAATGTCTCTTAACATAACCTGTTTATGAAAAAGTTAATATTTTCATAACAAAGAAATTTTAATGAAAAAAGTGGCATTGTTTTGTATTTTGCAAATCTCTTTAATGCCTGGCTTGATAGAAGACAGCTGGATTCTAATATCTGCTTCTACATTTAATCTGCTTAAATATGTTATTTTGATTGACATTTATGAAGCAAATACAGCCTCACTCAGATGTAGTTGGAAAAGGGAGTCATGGTTTAGTAGCCTTTATAGATAATCATGGATATTTATCTTTGACAATAAAACAAAAGTAAGCAAGTGGTAGTTTCTTAAAGGTTAGCTACAGCATGGAACCTGGAATTGTATTTCTAGTCTAATACATTAAAACTGATTGATCTATCTTGCACTTTGAACATACATTCTAACCATTCAAAATTCTGCAACATCATGCATTGGTCATTTAGAAAGCATTAGTTTCCTGAGTTACGAAGGTTTTCCAAATGTTGACACTATAATATTATACAATATCAGAGGATCACATTGCTCAGCAGTAAAGCCTTTATGTATTGGGGAGCTATCAAGCTTGGACTAGCAGATACAAGTTTTTTTACATTCTAATTTTTGCTTGAGTGCTCTACTTTTATTATTGATGACAAGTGCTGTCAGTTGCTTTCCTTGAACTGACAGGCTTATTTCATTCATTTTTCGGAAAATGTCTGCCAAATGCCCGAATCAGAACAACCAGAGTTTGTGTAAGAGTCTTTTTTTTTTTTTTCCAAATAAAAAATGGTGTTCCATGGGAAAAGCCACTAGTTTAGTTTATAACTTAAACAATTGCATAAGTGCTTTTTCCTGGAGATAGACATCATATTTCAGAATGTAGCAGAGTGCTGTATGCACACTTCTCTTTCTATTACATAGAACGTTAAAAGACTCAAGGGTCAAGATTTAATAAAAACTAATACTTCATCAAGGACACTGTTAGGTGAAACTGACTTTTTTAACGCAAATGCATGGATGAGGAATTAAACGACTACTCACATGGTGTGGTGCCACTGCTTTGATTTGTCTTGAGGCACCCACTGTTGCTTTTGTATCATCAGTGCAAATGTCAACACAGTGAAAAAAGCAAATAAAGATGATATTACGATGAAAATAGTTTTCCCCTCACAGACTTTCTGAAAGCGTCTCCGAGACCTGCAGAGATCTGCAGATCAGACTTTAAGAACTGCTGCTCTACATAGCGTTCAGTTTCGTCCTAACTTCTAAGGCTTCGATTTAAAACCTGCTAAAACTTCAGCAGCATGGCCTCATGAAGATAAGGAAAGGAAGCCAGAACTGAGAGGTTAAAAACGACAAGAAAATCAGCCCCATTAGACAAAAACCCCTTCAACAAAGTGAAATCTAGTCAGGTGAAAGTTCAAGTCAGCCTAGCGGTAAGGATGGCAGCACTGTTATCTGAGGTAGGAATATCTTTAATTATGTGATCTAAAAAAGATCACTGCTACTGGCTGGGGGACAGAGGATGAGAAGTTATCCCCCAGAGATGCTATTTGGCAAGAGCTACGTAGGGTAATAAGTCTCCACTTGGATAGGTTGAAGTCAAACATAGAGTTCATTCCTAGTAGTATAATTGCACATAAATAATGTGCTAATCAGCAAACTGAGGCAGATGCCTAAAAATCATGGAGGGAACCAACTGGGGCAGGATGTTGGTCTCAAGGAAGAGAGAGAGGTTAAACAAATGCAAATCAAATAGTATACAGGTTCCAAAGGCATACAACCAAGTATATCAGGTCTTTCAGGCTAATCATAAACCTTATTCCTTCATAAGCTGTAGTCTTGAAAGTAGGGGTGACAGAGTTTGCAGATGTAAAGTTTTAACAGCTCAGTCAGCAAGGTTGGCAAAAATAGACTTGCTTACCTAAACCAATGCAAATTATTTTATTTTGGTAATCTTAGTAATCTGATAAATAATTATCATTATTAGAATGAAGATATATAAAGCAGTGGTTTTCAAGTCGTAATCTTCATGGTCCTAGGAGTTAGAGAGGAGAGGTTATCACTGTAGAAAAGCCGGGCAAGCAGGCCTCCCTCACCTCCAATTCAACCAGCGAAGCTCCACTGCTATCTGTTATTATATATTAAACTTCTGAGTAAGAATTCACTTGCAGTAACAGTCATATATATGAATATTAACATTTTTCTCATATATACTATTTGTTATATTATATATATTTCTATATAATATATAATTATGTATTATTTATAATATATAGTACATATATTAAATGTACATTTATATTATATATAATTATTGATATATTACTAATTTGTATATTTACATATATATTAAAAACACAAGTTTAGAGCATCAAATTAGACATTATTTCTTTTGGAACAGTGCAAAAACATATACTAAAGTATATGAGCAAGGGTCATATGAAAAGTCATGTACCAGGGTCAATGCTTACTGTCTTTAAAAGTCATTATGAACTTTTGCTTCCAGGTGGGATACACAAATATCCACAGTTCATCACTCCCACATCAACAACTAGGAAAAAAAATAGACAAGTCACAAAAATCTTAAACACATTGAAGAGCTTGAAAACAAAGGGTTCCAAATGAATTACAATTCCAGAGTTGAAAGAGCCCTTTTTAGGTGAACAGAAATCATCAGCCTTTTCTCCCCTGGAGACATTTGCTGGCATGACAGACTAGACTATAGAGAGATTTCAGATACACAGCTAGTTTTGCCCATGATTCATATATTGAGTACTGAAGTGGCACGGGAGGTTGAGGCGAGGGGAGGGCGTCGGACCTGAAGGGCAGAATGAGATCTCGTGTAGACTCATGTTGCCTGTAATCCCAGCACTTTGGGAGGCTAAGGCAGGAGGATGGCTGGAACCTAGGAGTTTGAGACCAGCCTGCACAACACAGTAAGACACCATCTCTACAAAAAATGAGCCAGGTGTGGTGGTGCACATGTGTGGTCCCAGCTTCTTGAGAGGCTGATGCAGGAGGACAGCTTGAGCCCAGGAAGTCAAACTGTGATTGTGCCACTGCGCTCCAACCTGTGTGATAGAGCAAGACTATTTCTAAAAAATAATAATAATAATAAATAAATAATTTTTAGAAAGAAAATGAATTGCAAAGCGGCAGAACATGTTACATGACAGAAAAGACAAATATATATATATATTTATTATTATTATTATTATAATGCCACTAATAGTAACTACCAGAGGTACTATTCCCTGTGCTGAGCATTTCACACAAATATTTCATCTAGCCCTCACAGTCATCTGATAGATAAGTATTCCTATCTCTATTATATTATTGATAAGAAAATCAAGACTTTTAGTAAAGAGCAGAGTCAGCTCTGGAATCTGAGTTGCCTGACAATAAAACTCAAGTTTTTAACCATTCTGCTGTTAGGCCTCTCTTTGGATTACAAAGCAAAACCAAGACTATAGACAACCCCAGCTACAAAGTGATGATTTTACTTTGGGAAATTTCCATTACTATGAGAAAGGGTCAGTGATATGCTCAGCTTACTAGTTGTAGAATATAATGAAAGACTCAAGACTATTATATACATATTGTCTTAGCTTATTTGCACTGCTGTAACAAAATAGCACATACTGGGTAACTTACGAAGAACAGAAATTTATTTCTCACAGTTCTGGGGAATGGAAAGTCCAAGATCAAGTCATCGGCAGGTTCAGGTGTCTGGCAAGGGCTACTCTCCACTTCCAAGATGGAGCCTTGATTCTGCATCCTTCAGAGGATAAGAATGCTGTGTCTTCACATGGTGGATGGCAGAAGACAAAACTATCCAAAAGCTGCATGAAGACTCTTTTATAAGGGCCTTAATCCCATTCATGACAGAGGAACCCTCATGGTCTAATCACCTCTTAAAGGCCCCACCTCTTAATACTCTTATCACATTGGCAACACTTGAATTTTGGAAGGGATACATTCAAGCTATAATGCATATATATAGATGTGTGTGTGTGTTTCTGTGCCTGCATATAGCACACATATATTACATACATATATATGTATGTAAATATAAACTAGTAAACAGAAATATAAATATAATACAAGTGATTACATATACTTATACATGTATGTGTAAAAGTTTGTATATATCTATATATCTATTGATCCCTCTATGTCTCAACCTATCTATCTATCCATTATATCAGGGCCTGACATTTGAAAGAATCTTTATTTTGAAACAACTACATAGATATAAATAATATTGCTTTCACTTAAATAATGCTTAATTTTTTTAATTAGAAGAGGTTTTGGAATTCAGTCATAGAAAACAATAAATTAGTTCAATTTAAAATCAGAAAGTTTCTAAACTCAGAAATTTCGTGTCTGGATACATACTATTGCTGTATTACTGTTCTTTAAGTTTAGGAATGTATAATAGACTATGTATATAGCTTAATCTGTTTCTTACTTTTAAAAATTTATTTAGATGTTATACAGTCTAGAGAATACAGTTTGTACAACTGTTTGCCTCTTTTCTCTGGAAGTGAAAATTGCTAGTATAGAATATTTCCTCATTATTACTGGTAGAAGGTACAAATACCTGTAGTGGTGAGTTGATTATAAAATTGAATGGTATATAAAGTGAATATAGAAATATTCAGGAACAGTTCAAGTATTCCTGATTCCAGGATTCTAAAGAAATATGTCAAAATATTTCATCATTATAAACAATGGTGCATTCTCTAAACTGATGAGATGAGAGAGGAGTTTGTGACACAAACATAAATAGCACAGAATCCAAAATCTGTTTGTACATCCTTGTCTTAGAATTTTCTCTAACAGATCTAACTTGTCAAAAATGTTTAGCTTTAGCAAATAAGACAAATGTTGTAGATCACATGTGAGCATCTATATCCCCAAAAACAAAGGCAATCATGGCTAGAAGAGGGAAGACAACCTGGGACTAAATTTTGTCAAGGTGAATTGTCTGAGAAAGGCCTAAGAGTTGGCCAGGTATCTTCTAATAACATATAATCAAACCACATTCTTAAAATAAAACACTTTACAGAAGAAAGAAAAAAATGTACTGGCTATGTCTAAGTTATTCTGTGCATATATTTAATGACACTTTATTTTTTACAGAAGGTTTATCAGTATTACATATTTCAATAAACATGTTTCAAGGGTCTTGAAAAACTTCACCAAAGCCTGGAGTAAGGAATAATTCAGAATCAGAATAGCTAAACTGAACTTTTGGTGTTGAGGTAGGAGGCGGGACTCAACTCTGGAGGTGAGGCTCAGATACTGGACAAATTGAGGACTAGCTAAAAAAGGTTCAGGGCTGAAGTAGCTTTGGAAAGGACAACTCCCACCAGTGTGCCAAGTCAGTTCATCATTGCCATGACAACACTCAGAACTTACTGCCCCTTTCCATGGCAACAACCTGACAATCTGGAAATTACCACCCTCATTCTAGAAATTTCTGTATAAACTACCACTTTATTTGCATATAATTGAAAGTAGGTGTATATATTAGCGCAGCATTGCCTCCGAGTTGCTACTCTGGGTACACTGCCTATGGGGTGGACTTGCTCCTCAAGGAGCAGTACCTCTGCTGCTTCTGTACAGTTGCTGCTTTGATAAAAGTTGCTGTTTAATAGCACTGGCTCCCTCTTAAATTCTTTTCTGGGAAAAGCCAAGAATCTTCCTGGGCTAAGCCCCAATTTGAGGGCTTGCCTGTCGTGCATCAGTGTCATCTTCTAAATCTCAAATTATTTGCAAATGGTGCATCTGTGAGTTACTCTTAAAGAGCCAAGCAGCCCTTGTGTTAGTTCAAATCCCTAAGTGTGTTAAGTCTTGCATGTGCCTAACACTATATTAAATTCATTGGGGGATACGACTGAAGTCTATGACAAATTCTCTGGTCCCAAGGAATTTATCTTCTCATTATGAAATTGAAATATTCATACCTGGCCATACTGCCCAAGGCAATTTACAGAGTCAACGCTATTTCCATCAAGCTTCCAATGTCACTTTTTCCAGAACTAGAGAAGAACTATTTTAAAATTCATATGAAACCCAAAAAGGGCTCAAGTAGCCAAAGCAATCCTAAGCAAAAAGAACAAGGCCAGAGGCATCACATTACCTGACTTCAAACTATACTAGAAGGCTACAGTAACCAAAACAGCATGGTACTGGTACAAAAACAGACACACAGACCAATGAATGGAACAGAATAGAGAACCCAGAAATAAAGCCACACACCTACAGCCATCTAATCTTTGACAAAGTCAACAAAAACAAACAATAGGAAAAGGAGTCCCTATTCAATAAATGCTGCTGGGATAGCTGGCTAGCCATATGCAGTAGAATGAAACTGGATACCTACCTTTCACCGTATTTAAAAAAAACAAAAAACAAAACAAAAAAAAACCAAGGTGGATTAAAGATTTAAATGTAAGACCTCAAACTATAAGAATTCTAGAATAAAACCTAGGAAACATCACTCTGGACATTGGTCTTACAAATCATTTTATGACTAAGTCTTCAAAAGCAATTGCAACAAAAAAAAATTGACAAGTGGGTCCTAATTAAACTAAAGAGCTTCTGCACAGCAAAAGAAACCATCAACAGAGTAAAGAGATAATCTACAGGATGGGAGAAAATATTCACAAACTATACATGTGACAAAGATCAAATATTCAGAATCTATAAGGAACCTAATTCAACAAGCAAAAACAACCTCTTTGGAAAATGAGCAAAAGACATGAACAGATGCTACTTATTTAATTTAGTTTTATTTTAAGTTCTGAGATACGTGTCCAGGACGTGTAGGTTTGTTACATAGGTAAGCATATGCCATGGTGATTTGCTGCACCTGTCAACCTGCTACCTAGGTATTAAGCCCAGTATGCATTAGTTATTTATCCTGATGCTCTCCCGACCCCCACGCCCCACTGACAGACCCCAGTGGGTGTTGTTCCCTTCCCTATGTCCACGTATTCTCATTGTTCAGCTCCCATTTATAAGTGAGGACATAGATAGTTTGGTTTTCTGTTCCTGAATTAGTTTGCTGAGGACAATGGCTTCTGGCTCCATCCATATCCTTGCAAAGGACATGATTTCCTTCCTTTTTATGGCTACGTAGTATTCCATGGTATATAGGTACCAAATTTTCTTTATCCAGTCTATCATTGATGCACATTTGGGTTCATTCCATGTCTTTGCTATTGTTTCAGTGAACAAAGACATGCATATATCTTTATAATAGAATGATTTATATTCCTTTGGGTTTATACTCAGTAATGGGATTGCTGGATCAAATGGTATTTCTGGTTCTAGGTCTTTGAGGAATGGCCACACTGTCTTCCACAATGGTTGAACTAATTTACATTCCCACCAACAGTGTAAAAGTATTCCTATTTCTCCACAGCCTCTCCAGCATCTGTTGTTTCTTGACTTTTTAATAATCACCATTCTGACTAGTGTGAGATGATATCCCATTGTGATTTTGATTTGTATTTCTCTAATGCTCAGTGATGTTGAGCTTTTTTTCATATGTTTATTGCCCACATAAGTGTCTTCTTTTGAGAAATGCCTGTTCATATCCTTTGCCCAGTTTTTAATGGGGTTGTTGTTTTCTTGTAAATTTGTTTAAGTTCCTTGTAGATTCTGGATATAAAACCTTTGTCAGATGGATAGATCGCAAAAATTTTCCCCCATTCTGTAGGTTGTGAACAGATGCTTCTTAAAAGAAGACACGTGGCTGGGTGTGGTGGCTCACGCCTGTAATCCTAGCACTTTGGGAGGCCGAGGCAGGTGGATCATGAGGTCAGGAGTTCGAGACCAGCCTGGCCAACATGGTGAAACCCATCTCTACTAAAAATACAAAAATTAGCCAGGTGTGGTGGCAG